GGCCTGCCAATACTCCTTAGCGAATCGCCTTAAAGTAGCCCCCGCCTGGCGCAGCGGGCCCGTGCTCGGCCCCAGGGCAAAGGCCAGGTCGAGGTCTGCCCCGCAGCTCGCGAGACCTAGAAAGCCAGCCGCCTGAGAGCGCATGCGCCTGAGCTCGTTCGGATCCCAACCCTTTACCCCGCAGAACCAAGTCTTGGCCTTTGATCTCTTCGGGTTTCGGAGGCTCTTGATCTTAGAAAGACGAGCTTTTTGGGCGAGCAGTCGCCCCCTCCTTGTCCGTTTGGCGCACCGCTGTTTTCGGTGCTTCCCAGGGCCATAGTCCACCCCCCAGATTCACTAAAGAAACATCGGAATCCCCAGCGCACTGACAAAGAGAGGCCTTGGCGGCCGTGACCGGCTGCTCGCTGGCGCCTGCGATGCAGAACTTCTGCATAGCGAACGTCAGATTTAACAGCTGGGCGAGATGATTTATCAGGGAAGCCAACGCCGCCGCCAAATTCACAATGCACTGGACCGTGTCCGCGCGCCGCTCGTTAAGACTGAAATCGTGGACATGCATTGCCAGTTCTGTTCTGCAGCAGATGACGTGTGCTGTGGGTACGCAATAAACCTTCAATGCAAATGTTGCTGTGCTGCTGCCTGCTACGATGCCCTGATGTGGTGCGATGCCTTTGAACAGAACCCCATCTATGTTCAACGCGCGCTCCCACCCATACGTGTGCATGGCGAACCTGAGGGCAAGCAACGGGCACCCCCAGTCGATAGCGCTCTGCACCAGCTGCGGGTGCTGCACATGCTCGTGGCGCTGCGTCAGGTCTGCAAGCAAACTCAAAACGTGCTTCTTCTCACTGGCAGCTAGATCTCCTCGGACCTGCTGCCCCCATACTGCGTCTGTCGGGGGATCGGCCAGCCTTCATGCTGAAAGCGCCTTGGTCCTGGATTGTGCTCGCCCAGAGTTTACATGTCCTGGAGTGCCAGCGCGAAACCATCCTGACCGTCGACTGATAAAATCCAATGGGCCTGCGCCCCGACACCGGTTTGCGAAACGAAGCCACCATCAATTTCCACGTCCAAGAGGGTGGGGAGCCCAGCGCAGCCATCACGCGCGCGACCTGACTGAACACGGCAAAATGTCTGGGATTAAACCCATTTGCTGCGATCTTGGCTCTCTTGACTTGCTTAAATGTCGGATCTCTTCTGGGTCAGGCGGCTTCGGGAAGGTCATGTCCTTGGGCCACTTGAAGCCCCCCTTCCGTCCTGGCCTCCTCATCCCACGCTTTGCCCCACTTCAACTCCCTTCCTCCTCCAGCTGTCCGGCGACGCAAGAAGCGTGTGCTCCGTCGTCTGCGGGGTCGAGATCCTGTTTCCCATCGGTTGCCACCCCGGTGCAAGCGCGCGACCACGTGGCTCCGCCGGCGAGGGCCTCCGTGCACCAGTCGCCCCACTTGGCCGACTTCTCAGCCTTCTCGCGCGGTGGCAACTGCGAAGCCTGGCGTGCAGAACAATCCTGTAGTGCCTTGAAATTGTTCACTGTCTCGCAAAAGAAAGGAATGGGTCCTTCAACCCAAAGACTGCCCAAGGGTGCACTCAGGGGCCCCATTCAGACGCCCCGCCTCCAGGGTAGCGGTACCTGAAAATGCATCCAATGCGCGCAGCCTTGAACGTTGCCTCCAAGAGCTTCCAATAGTAGCAAGGATGTGATAGGCATGTGCCGTTCGATAGAAGTCCAAAATTTCCCTGGCATCTGCGTGAGAACCAACGAAGGTCCCTGTAGGGACTGCGGGTGGGACTTTGTCTTGAGCAGAGTAGCTCGCTGATTGGGGGGGCCTCGTAGAGCTCGCGCGGCGCCCCCCCCTTTTTGCCCTTTTCTGGGTGGCTTTGCAGAATGCCCTCTCGTTATTCCCGAGCCTGTTCGGTCCACTTGGCGCAGACCTCATCTAGCCCTTGTTGAAGCTGGGCTGGTTCGTCGCCTACAGGGGGCCTATATCCTCCAGGAACCTCAAGTGGCTGCAGTAGATCTCCAAGACCACCCTCCAAGTCCTCATAGTTGGGCGCCCGCGGGGCGGGGCCTACCGGGAGGTCCACGGGGAGCTCGGCAGACTGCTTCATACGTTGCACTGGGATATCATCGGCTCGTGCGTGACATTGCAGGTGCACTGGCCTATGAGGAAAACCTATGAGTTCATATCCGCGCACGCCGTCTTGATGGCAGTCAAGAGCGGCTTGCTTGTGATAAGTAATCGTAGCATCTGGCTGGGGATGCGCTCCTGCACGTTCCCGTTGGCGAGGGGATTACTCACTGGCCATTCCACTTGTATGGTGCGAAGCCCTCTCTGAAAACATGTGGCTCTGCGTTAGAATCTGCTGCTGCAACCAGCGGGCGTCCCTGGCGCAGGACGTCGCGAACCGTGGTCTGAGCCAGGCGCGCGTTGCGGGGTGGCAGCCCCTCCCAAGTCAAAGACACAGCCACAGTAGAACGAAATAATTCCCAGCGGTCGGCTTCTACAGCAGACATGGATGAGCCGATGAGGGAAAAGGTCACGCGAGCGCGCTGGGCCCTGCCAGGCGTCGAGGTGGGCTCGCACGAAGACGGCCACTCCTGCTGAAGCACCTCCCTTCCTGGCAACCTCGCAATATGAACAGAATGATTCCCAGCCTTGCTTCCTGATCGACTCTTTCGCCTCTAACAGTCGTTGACCATGAAGCTTATGTTCTTGAACGAGTACTACATGGGCCACAACGGTGACTGCTGTCGTCCAGCCGCTGCCGTTGACGGTGAGAAACAACAGCCCCTTGGCGGCTTGCGCCGCCTGGCTCGGGTTGCCCACCAGACCCTCTGGCCGAGGAGATCACCGTAGCCATGGCCTCGCTCTCACCCTTCGCCTTCTTCGCCTGCATCTCGGCCTGCCCCTCGCCTGAGCGACGCCCGGCCAGTGGCGCCGGCGGCGTCGGCTTGTCTTCCTGCGGTGCGCCGACCATGCCCCCGTCGAGGCCCATCTCACGCGCCGCCTCCTCATCCGCCGCCAGCGCCGACATCTCCTCCCCCCTCAGCCTGATCTACTCCGCGAACTCCTGCATGGGGCTCCACAGGCTCTGCATGAGGAGGGGGTTTAAGCCAGCACTCAGGAAGTTCATGCTGTTCAGGAAAGCTTGGGCGTCCATCCGCCATGGGCCTCCGCCGCCACCGAACTGCGCCAGCGCGTTGACCGCCTGGCCCTTGCCCGCAGGCATCGGCGGCGGCAGGCCTGGCGCACCCTGGCATGGGTCACCGCCCACCACCGTGGGTAGCTTGAGCGCCCCGGCCTCCAGCTCGCACCGGCGCAGGGTGTCCTTCGCCGTCGCCAGGCCGGCTGCCACCAGTGCGCGCTTGACGTCCAGGTCCTCGAGCACCTGGGCCCGCTGCTTCACGTAATCGGGCTGCATATCCAGCTGCCGCTGGGCGCGGTTCAACTTCAGGAACTGGGCCTGCTGCAACTGAGAGGCGCTCTTCTCACTGTCGCGGTCCTCCCGCAACCTGTCCAAGACATTCTCGATCGACTCCATCGCCGCCATCGTAGACTCCTGGGCAGCTCCCTTCTGCTTCGCCTCCAGACTCCTCAGCGAATCGTAGGTGCTCTGGAGCTTCTGGATCTGAGCCTTCCCTGTGGAGTCCTTCTTCTGCGCTGGTCCCGCTGACGAAGAGGCTGGTGTCACTGAGCTCGTCGCTTCCACTGCACACCACATCGCCAACACCATAGATGCTGAAGAGAAGCTCGGGCCTCGCATTGCGCACACCTCCATGAATATGACGCAAGGTTTGATGGGTCGAACTGGGCCTGGCGCTTGTCTTTCCCTTTGCTACTGCCAGACCCGCGACCTCGAGAGGCCGCCTTGCTCTTGCCCTGCACGCCCTTCCCGCCCATTGCGACTAAGGAGCGGGACTGCGCTGGTTGCTCCACCGCCGGGGCGGTGTCGATGAGTACAAAAAAACAACCCTCGAGCCCTCACCCCACCCGAGGGGGTGGGAAATGGCCTTGAGCCAAGGGCTACGGACCGTTCCCCCTCCCGCCTCCTCCCGCCTCCTCCCTCCTCTCCTCCTCCTCCTCCTCCTCCTCCTCCTCCTCCTCCTCCTCCTCCTCCTCCTCCTCCTCCTCCTCCCCCTCCCCCCTCCTCCTCCCTCCTCCTCTCCTCTCCTCCTCCTTCCTCCTCTCCACTTCTTCTCTCTTCTTCTTCTTTCCTCCTCCTCCTCCTCCTCCTTCCAACTTCCTCCTCCTCCTCCTCCTCCTCCTCCTCCTCTCCTCCTCTCCTCCTCCTCCTCCTCCTCCTCCTCCTCCTCTCCTCCTCCACCTTCTCCTTCCTCCTCCTCCTCCTCCTCCTCGTCCTCGTCCGTCCTCGTCCTCGTCCTCCTCCTCCTCCTCCTCCTCCTCCTCCTTCCAACTCTTCTTCTTCTTCTTCTTCTTCCTCCTCCTCTTACTCCTCCTCCAAATCTTCCTCCTCCTCCTCCTCCTCCTCCCTCCCTCCCTCCCTCCCTCCCTCCTCCCTCATCCTCATCCTCCTTCCTCCCTCCTCCTCCTCCTCCTCCTCCTCCCTCCTTCTCATCATCATCATCATCATCATCATCATCATCATCATCATCATCATCATCATCCTCATCCTCATCCTCATCCTTCTCCTCCTCCTCCTCCTCCTCCTCCTTCTCCTCCTCCTCCTCCTCTTCATCCTCCTCCTCCTGCTCCTCCTCCTCCTCCTCCTCATCCTCATCCTGTGGACCTCCAGGGAGTGCCCCCCTCCCCCCTCCCCGACCGCTCGGTGTCTTCTCTGGCCCTCGCCTCGCTCGTTTGTCTTGCGGGCCTCTGGTCGGTCCCCCTTGTCGTAGCTCTTCGCGACCGTAGTGCCAGGGAGCCAGCGCTGGACTCTACTAGCCCACGCCCACAGGAAACATCTCCAATGCAAGAACCCCTCCAATTGTATGCCTCCTGCTGGCACGCCCGGGCCCGCCTCCCCCCCCCCCTGCGGAGAGCCATGGATCCGCTCTCCGGCGGTCAGCGCAGCGGATCGAGACGACCTCGCTCTGGAGATCCCCGCGGCCCCAGCGGTACGCACGGCAGAAGAAGTGGAAGAAGCCGAACACCTGGAGGGGGAGAGCGGGAGGCGAGGGGGGAGGCAACGAAGAAGGAGAGGCGGCGGGATAGAGCAGTGGAAGGAGGAGGAGAAGGCGGAAGAGGAGGTGGGAGATGAAGAGAGGAGGAACACCAGCAGCAGGAGGAGGAAGAGGAGATGAGCGAAGCGGGGAGAAGAGGGGAGGGAGGTGGAGGATGGAAAGGGGCGTGAGAGAAGGAGAGAGCGGCAAGCAAGGTGTAGGAGGAGGAGGAGTCTGGACGACACTTATGCCATGAGGGGGGTCAGCGGGCCAGGAGGAGGAAGAGGAGAGATGATACTATTGTTTATGTTTCGGTGGGCCAGTGGGTCAGAAGGAGGAGGAGGAGGAGGAGGAGGAGGAAGAAGAGGAGGAGGAGGAGGAGAGATGATAACTATGTTTTTGCTTCGGTGCGTGGTACATGGTGTAAGCAGCGGTGCGCGCGCGGACAGGGGCGGCGGCGTGCATTGATTTGTTTAGGGTTCCCATAGGCTCCCAGGAAGCTCCCAGGAGACACAACAAATGCCCCCAGAGGCTCCCAAGATGCGCCCTCGTCCTCCTCCTCCTCCCTCCTCCTCCTCGTCCTCGTCCTCCTCTTGATCTTCCCCGCCATCCCCCCCCCCCCCCAATGCTCCCCGAAGGGTTTCAACAACGGAGGAGCACATGGTCCAATAATCACAAGTCACAAGACAGCTCGCGGCTTAGGCCCCACCGTCAGCCCAAACGGCGAGCATACTTCTGGCGTAGCCCCGCACGCATTCGAATGCCCACACTTCGTCCTCGTACTACTCGTATTCCTCTCCGTCCTCCTCCCCATCGTGATCGTCGTCGTCCTCCTCCTCCTCCTCCTCCTCCTCCTCCTCCTCGTTCTCCTCCTCATCCTCCTCGTCTGCCTCGTCTTCCTCCTGCTCTAGTTCATCCTCGTCGTCCTCGTCTAGGACCTCGTCCCCGTTACTCCTCTTCCTCCTGCTGCTCATCCTCGCTCTCCTGGCACCTCGGTCCTCGACGCCCTCGCTGGCCCGCTTGCGGTTCAAGAGAGCGGCTCAAAGCCGAAACAGGTCACGGACCCTGCCGCAAGGATGCCAGCGAAATGGCGCAAGTCTGTCGCGTAAAAGCCGCATCCTATCGGTTGCGCTGTAGGTTGCGCCCTCGGCGGCGGAGAATAAAACAGTCTCCTATCGGTTGCGCCATAGGTTGCGCCCTCGGCGGCCGAGAATAAAACCGTCTCCAATAGGTTGCGCCAAGGGTTGCGCCCTCGGCGGCCGAGAATAAAACCGTCTCTTGTCGGTTCCGCAATAGGTTGCGCACTCGGCGGCCGAGAATAAAACCGCCTCCTATCGGTTGCGCCATAGGTTGCACCCTCGGCAGCCCATAATAAAATAGTCTCCTATCTCCGATCGGTTGCGCCATAGGTTGCGCCCTCGGCGGCCGGGAATCAAGCCGTCTCCGATCGGTTGCGCCATAGGTTGCGCCCTCGGCGGCCGAGAATGAAACCGTCGCGTACTCCGATCGGTTGCGCCATGAGTTGCGCCCTCGGCGGCCGAAAATAAAATAGTTTCCTATCTCCGATCGGTTGCGCCATAGGTTGCGCCCTCGGCGGCCGAGAATAACACCGAGGCGTACTCCTATCGGTTGCGCCATAGGTTGCGCCCTCGGCGGCCGAGAATAAAACCGTCTCCTATCGGTTGCGCCATCGGTTGCGCCCTCGGTTGCCGAGAACAAAACCATCGCGTACTCCGATCGGTTGCGCCATCGGTTCGCCCTCGGCGGCCCAGCATAAAACAATCGCGTGCTCCTATCTGTTGCGCCACAGGTTGCGCCATCGGCGGCCAAGAACAAAACCGTCTCCGATCGGTTGCGCCAGTGGTTGCGCCCTCGGCAGCCGAGAATAAAACCGTCTCTTGTCGGTCGCGCCAAAGGTTGCTCCCTCGGCGGCCGAGAATATAACCGTCTCCTATCGGTAGCGCCATAAGGTGCGCCCTCGGCGGCAGAGAATAAACCGTCGCGTGCTCCTATCGGTTGCGCCATAGGTTGCGCCCCCGGCGGCCGAGAATCAAACCGTCTCCGATCGGTTGCGCCATAAGTCGCGCCCTCGGCGGCCGAGGATACAACCATCTCCTATCGGTTGCGCCATCGGTTGCGCCCTCGGCGGCCGAGAATCAAACCGTCTCCGATCGGTACCGCCATAAACTGCGCCCTCGGCGGCCGAAAATCAAGCCGCCTCTTGTCGGTAGCGCCATAGGCTGCTCCCTCGGCGGCCGAACCCTCGGCGGCCGAGAGCAACACCGTCTCCGATCGGTTGCGCCATAGGTTGCACCCTCGGCGGCCGAGAATAAGACCGTCTCCTATCGGTTGCGCCATGGGCTGCGACCCCCGCGGCCGAACATCAAACCGTCTCCTATCGGTTGCGCCATAAACTGCGCCCTCGGCTGCCGAGAATAAAACCGTCTCCTGTCGGTTGCGCCATAGGTTGCGCCCTCGGCGGCCGAGAATAACACCGAGGCGTACTCCTATCGGTTGCGCCATAGGTTGCGCCCTCGGCGGCCGAGAATAAAACCGTCTCCTATTGGTTGCGCCATAGGTTGTGCCCTCGGCGGCCGAGAATAAAACAGTCGCGTATCAGGTGCGACCAGCTAGTTCAGCTCAGTCAGTTTACCCCGCGAGAAACAAATTCGGGCTACGCCCGAAACTAAGCAAATGCCAATCCTTCAAACAAGCATGGGAACTCAATGAGTTTGGCCTCTTCGAGCCTTCCTGGAGGACCTCTTGGAGGCCTCTTGGGCTGTCTTGGAGATGACTTGGGACCCTCTTGGGCCATCTTGGAACGAACCATCTTGGGCCGTCTTGGTGGCCTCCTGGCCTGTCTGACGGCGTCGGGAGCCGTCTTGGGGGCCTCTCTGGGCCGAAATGGGGCCTTCTTGGGGTGCTCCAGGGCCGTCTTGGAGGCCACATTGGGCGTCTTGGAAACCTCTTGGGCCGTCGTGGGGCCCTCTTGGGGCCGTCTTGGGGGCCTCTTGGGCCGCTCTGGGGCCATCTTGGAGGCCTCTTGCGCGATCTTGGGGCGATATTTGAGGGCTCTTGGGCAGTCTCGGGCCGTCGGAAGGCCGAAAAAAAGCAAATGCCAATCCTTCAAAAAAGTATGGAAGCTCAATGACTTTGGCCTCTTCGGGCCTTCCTGGAGAACCTCTTGGAGGCCTCTTCGGCCGTCTTGGAGGCCTCTTGGGCGCATCTTGGGCCGTCTTGGGCCATCTTGGAACCATCTTGGCCCGCATTGGCGGCTTCTTGGGCGGACTTGGAGGTATGTCGGCCCCTCTTGGGCCGTCTTGCAGGCCATCTTGGACCATTTTGGGCGAACTTGGAGGCCATCTTGGGCCATCTTAGCCGTCTCGGAGACCATCTTGGGGCCATCTTGGAGGAGAAAATCGATGGAGTGCACTTGTTCGGCGACTTTCCGGGTGGCCAGCGCGCTGGGCCGAAGCCTCAGGGATAGTGCTTTTGGAAAAGGAGACACAACCAAGCCGAATATAGTGTTTAGCACGCCAATCGCCCCTGTGGCAGGACCACGAGGGGGCGGCGGCTTGCCTAGTGGCCTACGGCCCATCCCGCCACCATGTCTTGGTTGTGGGATAGAAGCCTCGTACATGTTCGTAGGGATATCGAAAGAAGCCTGTCGAGAGCTGCTGGGAGACAGTTTTGAAGTCTCGTGATGGCTGTTTGGAGGCCTCTTGGGGCGTCCTGTGGGCCTCCTAGGGGCCTCGTGGGGCCTCTTGGGGGCCTCGTGGGGGCATCGTGGAGCCTCTTGGGGGCGTCATGGGACCTCCTGGGCGGCGTCTTGGGGCGGAACGCTCGACTTCTAAGTTGGTGTGGCCCCCCCTTTGGGGCCGTCTTGGGGCTCTCCTCAGCCGTCGTGGACGCCTCTTGGGCCGTTTTGGGGCCGTCTTGGCTGGTCTTGGGACCCTTTTGAGGGCCTCTTGGGCCGTGTTGGAGCGGTCTTGGGCGCCTCTGGGGCTGTCTTGGAGTGCGGGTAGCTCGAAGAGACGACGTCGTGAAATATATAGGAAAACATATGGTAAATCAATGACTTCTGCATCGTGAAATCCTCTTGAGTCCTCTTGGGGACCTCTTTGGCCGTCTTGGTGTGGTCTTTGGATCCTTTTGGGGCCATCTTGGGCGTCTTGGAGCGCCCTTGGGTTGTCTTGGAGGCCTCTTGGACCGCTCTTGGAGCTCTCTTGGCGCCTGGGGGCGTCTTCAGCCTCCGGGCGCAACCCCAGCGCGCTCCCGGGGGGTCCCAGAGACCGCATGGCGCGTCGAGGAGCCGTCCTGGGAGCCCAGGGCTGGTGTATACTCGAACCATCGCGCGCGCTCAAGTCCTACTTGCCACGGGGCCAAGCGTGAAGCGCGTCAGAGGGGCCGTGTCCGGATGATCAGGTCCTTTGGCTTGGCAGCGCACGCATTGGTGGCTGAGGTCGTCCAGAAGTTTTGTATTCGCGACAGTCCTGGGCTATCCTTGGGCAATCTTGCAACCCTCTTCGGTGCCATGTAAGCCCCCGCGGCCATCTTGGAGCCACGCGCTGGCCACAAGTGGAAACCCCAGCATAGAAAGGGAAACACATTGGGATTCCTCTTGGCTTTTGACTGCTGCGGCCCTCGTGGAAACCAAGTACGGGCACGCCAGCGGCCTCTTGGAATCTCACTGTGCCGCTGGAAACTTGCTGGGGCAGCCTGGGGGCGTCCTGGGACCGTCGTGCTTGGGCCCTCGAGCAGACATTCAGCTTCTTTATTTTCGCTGGGAGCTCACAAGCCCCAAGGCCACTCCATTTCCAGCCCAACTGAAGATTTCAGAATCAAATCCCACAGCACTTGACAGAGATCCATTGGAATTGGAGTTGGGCTGGTAGATCCAGCCAGCAGCGAAGTCGAACACACTGCATTGGGGACTGGGGATCTCCTGCGCAGCTCCCGGAGCCTCTCGGGGGAGCTCGGGGAAGGCTCCTGGAGGAAACCCGGGGAAGCCTCCCGGCCCACTCCGCCACGCGAACACCCACATCTGGGGCCCTCCGCCCCCACGTGACCCCCGAGGCCGCCTGGGAGGCCCCCAAGAAGCCAGGATGGCCCCCAGGAGGCCCAAACGAGGCCCCAAGAGCTCTTGGGGCCTCGTTTGGACCTCTTGGGCCTCTCAAGAGGCCCCAAGAGCTCTCGGAGCCTCGTAAGAGGCCCCCGAGAGGCCCTCCAGAGGCCCCCGAACAGCCCAAGACCGCCAGCACGAGGACGCCGTGAGCACGTACACTTTGCATGTCCGCCGACCCCCGCGGAGCTTTCGGGTCGTGAGCCGGCTTCCTCCTGCACCCGCTCCCCAGGAGCCCGCCCCGACCACCATTGAATGAAGGAAGCCCCAGCGACGTCCCCGACGGACCCATTTGACCCTAAGAGGCTCCACGAAGGGGACCTCGACAAGGACCCCAGAACATCGAAATCCTTCCCGTCGTCCTCGTCGTTGTCGTCTTCGTCGTCGTCGTCGTCCTCCTCCTCCTCCTCTACTTTCTATCTCCATGTCCGACGGCGGCCAATGTCTGTGACGCATGGCAACCCAGCAACAAACCACCTCGGTCTTACAGTCAACCCGTGTAGGAAGGATGCGCGATACGGCGATAAGGATGAAGGGGCCTTTTACGCCCATTTCGAAGCTTCTCGAGCGGGGCGCGGCCAACGAAGGTGGCCAAGGATGGACCGAGGAGGCAAGGATGCGAGGGTGCCTTTGGGAAGGTTGCCCATCCTAACTATGCGGGTTGACTGTATATAGCTTGGGTATCCAGCGGCCGTTCGGGACGATTCGGGCACCCCAGGAACGCTCTCGGCGAGGCGCAGCTGCTGGAAAACATTCTGAGGCTGGACCTCCAGGAGGGAGCCACAACTTCCGAGAAACCTCAGACATCCAACGACAGCTTCCACAACCCCGATTTTTACACCTCGGTCCGACTGTACATCCTGGCCGCCGCAATGGATAGGACAGGTGAAGCTCGGGAAGGGCAGGAGGAGCACACACCTCCACGAGCGGCTCTGGCTCCTGGGCCTCACGGGGCGCCTCCGACAACCGGCGGAGACCACGTGTCCGTGGAGCCCAGCCTCCTCGCAGAGGGGTAGCACGAAGACTTTGCTATGTCGACCGGGTCCAGTGCGCAGACGGTGCACGAGTCGCACCAAGGCCCTCCGATTAGCTGCAGATCGTCGGGTGGCGGCGTTTGGCCAGAGGGTGGCACCTTGCAGTCGACAGGCCAACCCTGGCCCACAATGCCAACCATGTTCGCTTCCACTCCACACGTCCCAAGCTGTGTTTTCGCATCCGGATCCCCGTTTGGCCACTCCAAGCATATCGCCGCGGCATTGTAATACTGCTTTGTGGACATGTTCACGTTGAACGAAAACCATGATGTGTTAGGCCCATCGGCACATGCTTCCGTGTCCCACTTATCTATGAGGGTATAGACGGACATTGGAACACTGAATCTAATCGGGCTGCATGTCCGGATTCCTCCTTTGCCAGGCCCAGCCGTCTTTCCGTAGGACTCTTTTAAGCACCGCCTGTTCAATTCTGAAAAGTCGGGGTCATCAGGGTCGAGATACTTTAGAAATGGTGGCATCAGCTCTGCAGGGACATGCAGCCTGGAAATCTCGGTTTTTTCTCTGGAAATCTCCGACCCGTTCCGAGAGCTGTAATTCAGAGTTGAAGCGGTGTCGTCCAGTGTGTTCAAGAAAGTACTTCTATCTTCGCTGTCGATTATGGCCGCCCTGTCAAACGCTCTGTCCAGTCTACATGCTACGAAATAACCAGCGCCGACCAATCCTACTGCGATAAAGAGTGCACAAATCCAGCGGGACAAATGAAACCCAACGACCCGACGCCGCTGCACACGGAAATCTCCCTGAGGTGATGTCACAAATGTCTGCTCCTCAGCCATTGAACGCGCTTGCGCCAAAATCGGTCGCGAAGTTTTCGAAAGCAGGGCTCCGAATGAGCTGCCACCTGACGATGCCAAACGCACCGGCTTGAGCTTACGTTGCTTGATAGCTCGAGCCCAATTGCTGGAGCCAAACTGATTTCGGACCAGCCCGAGCTCAGAACTCGAAGGATGTCTGCAACCAGGTGAACCTCAGCGGAGGTGTCCGATACCGCAGCGACAGTTGAACCCGCAGAGGTTGGGGCATCGGGAGCGCAGTCCCGAAAATCGCGAATCATCTGTTGGGGGCCCTCAGCAACAGACCCAGTCCCCTCTGCACTTGTGTTCACCACGCGAGGAGGTGTGCCTGAAAGCAGCCAGGACAATGGCTGAGCTGCTGTTTGCCCGAGAAGCCTGGGTCGGCTTTCGGGCGCAGTCTTCGAACGACGCGAGGCCTTGCGAATACAACCTCGTGCCTTCACAGGGGAGGTAGAAACTGGACCAGAGTCCTGGAAGATGGTCGGTTGTTTCATGACTGTCGCAGCCGTATCTACGTTTAGGTCGTGCATGTCCTCCTACAGGCGGATTTTGGACGACAAATAACAAATAAGTCATCAAACCAGGTCCAACAATAGTAAACAATGATCGAAACATCTTCCCCACACGACTGTCTGACTATATTTGAATGTTTCTCCTGTAGAGGGACATGCTTGTTCTGCTCCATCAGCCCTCTGAGAGACCGCGCCACGGAAGACAGCGCCAGCTGTCGGTGTCGGCTCGGGGGAGCTCGGGCTTCTGGCACACGAGTGGAAGATGGTGGCACTAAGAGGCAACACCGAGGAGGGGGGGGGCAAGACGACCACAGTGGAGGAAGGCGGGAACAGGCGGGAGGAGGGAGTTGTGAAGAGGGACGGTGGAGGGAGGAGGCGGCCGCAAAAGAAAGATGAAGGAGGAGGAAGGGAGGACGAGTAGGAGGGAGGTTAGAGGGAGGACAGGAGAGAGAAAAGTGAAAAGGGGAGGGACTGGGAGGGGCAGGGCGGAGGAAGTGACGAAGGGGGATTACCGAGGCGGGAGGAGGATGGAGGGGGCAGGAGGGCGGATGTATACGAAGTAGAGGGCAGGAAGCAAGAGAAAAAGAAAGCGGGCAAGAGGAGGGAACGGAGGAAACTATACACGAGGAGCATGGAATAGGGCTGGACGAGGAAAAAGACGGAGGCAAGATGAACATGAAGGTGGCCTCTTGGGCCATATTGGGGCCCTGTCAGGGGCCGTCTTGGGCGGTCCTGGGTGCCCCTGGGGGATTTGGAAAACAAACAAAAACTGAAAATACGCTCTTCTGCCGGCCCTGCCGGCCCTGCCGGCCCTGCCGGCCCTGCTGGCCCTGCCGGCCCTGCCGGCGGCTCTGCCGGCGGCCCTGCCGGCGGCCCTGCCGGCGGCCCTGCCGGCGGCCCTGCCGGCGGCCCTGCCGGCGGCCCTGCATGCCGGCGGCCCTGCCGGCGGCCCTGCCGGCCCTGCCGGCCTTGCCGGCCTTGCCGGCCCTGCCGGCCCTGCCGGCCCTGCCGGCCCTGCCAGCCCTGCCGGCCCTGCCGGCCCTGCCGGCCCTGCAAGCCCTGCCGGCCCTGGCCCTTGCGGCCCTGCCGCCCTGCCGGCCCTGCCGGCCTGCCGGCCCTGGCCCTGCGGCCCTGCCGGCCCTGCCGGCCCTGCCGGCCCTGCCGGCCCTGCGGCCTTGCCGGCCCTGCCGGCCCTGCCGGTCCTGCCGGCGGCCCTGCCGGCGGCCCTGCCGGCGGCCCTGCCGGCGGCCCTGCCGGCGGCCCTGCCGGCCCTGCTTGGGGAGAAGAGTGGCTTAGCAAGCTTTATATAACTTGCTAAGTTTTAGCGGTGTTGTTAAGGAGTTGTGAGTTGCATAGCTAACACTTAACACATGGTTACTAAGTGAACTGATGGGGGCACTTTAGTTGCTTACTAACTCTCTTACTAACCAATGTTAAGATGGTTAGCTAACCCTCGCTATAAGTTACCCCCCCCGAGCTAAAGCAGTTAGCTAACCCTCGACATGAGTTAGCTAACCCTCGCTAAAGGTTTACCTGGCCATACAACTACAGGTCTAGCATGAGGCCAATCACGAACGCGAGCGTTTGCTAAGGGCACTTCTAGAGCAACACAGTCATTAAAAATGAGTTACATAACAGTAGAATTTGGATGGTGCATCGCTGTAGGTGCCAGAGTTTCGCAGCACTGCAGTCGCATATTACACAGCCGCCGCGGATTACCACTATAGTTGACGCATGTTTTTTATTCCCTCGTCCCCTGCATCACGGCACAGTCGAAAACGTTGAGGCTATTTTGCGAGGGACAAGGTGTGCAACGCAGTGGTAATGCCACCGCTTTCCCTGCAAATGAGAACCTCCAAAAAATCATCGAGCGATGTAAGAAACGCATCGCCATGCTCTTGCCAACAACTGGACCACACATCTTGTGAAATGCGAGCGTATGGCTGCACCGCCCCGAAGCAGACACCCGCACTGCTAGCCAAGAAGATGACCCTCACCAATGACCATGCATTGGGCCCTTCACGCAAGGCTACAACATCGCCAATGAAGCAAACGTCGTACTTGTTAAACCTAGCCCTCGACGAAGACTTGTGTTCTACCTGGCCGAGGGTTGCGTCCAGAAAGCCAGCAAGTTTTTTGCTGGCCATGGTCGCCCCAAGGAGGCGAGCGGAAAGGTCAAGCCAATCTGCATGGCTAAAGCGGTGGAAACTCTCGGACAAAACCTCCCTTATGACAGGGCTTGTGTCCTCCGTGAAATCTTCAGCATATTTGAGCACAGTCTTGTGCTTGCGCTCTACGGTGAGCGTGTGCGGGCAGAATCCGTACCGATCGATGTACTCCGAATGGTGGAGCATCCCGTGGAACTTCCAAAGGATATCGGACGTGCCGAACGCGGCAGTCCAATTCTTTGCAAAATGAGAGGTTGCTGCTTCAAGCACGTCACTCGTCAAGCCAACCTTGTGGCCATGAAAAAGCATATGAATCACAACCGACAAAGACACGAAAGCAGTGCAGGCTGGCACGTGAAGACCTCTTGCCATGACCTCGGTCCTGCAATAGTGGGCGAGCACGCTGTGAGCAGATAGAGCTTCGGACGCCGAGCACTTGAAGTACTCGGCCTCCCAGCTCGTCTTTGCCCTCTTCTTGCAGAACATTTCCTGACCTGTCACCCCCTTGGAGCTGAGCCTCCCGGGGAACACGAAGCTCTCGAAGTACGAATGGATGTGTGCTGCAGTGATGTTCGAGGTCCTCAACTCCTTCATCAGCTTGAACGTTGCCTGCTGGAAGAGCCCCTGTAAAATATTGTGGGCCCAATCGTAAGTGTTCTGGCGCGCTGGGTCCAGTAGCGGTCGCAGAACTCGGTCGTTGAGCATGTTGTGGCGAGAGTGGGCCCATCCATAGAGCCTCTCCCTCTCGGCCAGCGTGCCCTTGTTCACCACCCCTGCATCTGCAGCGAGCCGATCAATCATGGCGACGATGGTCTCCTTGGTGTGCGGGACACACTCACGCAAAGAATGGACCTGCGTGTAGTCCTTGAACATAGAGCCTTCCATGAAGTCAGCACCCACCCACCCCTTGTTAACCACGTTTGCGCAGTGAAGACATGGCTTGACACCTGAGGACCCTTTGCTCATCCACATGGAATGCAATCCTGATTCATCACCCAGAAGGCACGAAATCTTCGCATGAATTCTCAAGCTTCTGCCTGAAGGTAGATCCAGCGTGATCCCCGCAAGCCTCAGGTCGTGGCCATCGTGTGACGTCAGCCTCAGCAGTGCCCCCATCAGCTGGGCCATGCCACCCTCGCACTGGCTGATGTCCAGTGCCCGAGCACTTGCCAAGCATAGCCACATATCCTCTTTGCACAGCACCCACGGTCCAAAATCGAGGACGCTGAAGTATACGTTCTGCACCGCCCTCTTGTTCAACTGCTTGAGCTTGTTGCCTGGTTTGCACTCGTCGCTATAGAACACAAGCCCCCACGGCCTAGAAACAGAACATGGCGACCGCGAATGCGTTTCCTCCAAGATGTCTGCAAATCTCTGGCACTTGGCCGCAGCGTACAAGTACGCCAGAGGATTCACAACCTCGGGGGTGAACCTCCTGCCATCTTTCATCTCCAGGTCCGCTCGCACAATGGTGGGCCCATACGGCGTGAGCTGTAGAGCGTCCATGTCTCGAGCGGCTCGGACATCTCCGGTACTTGATATGTATGGTAACTCGTCCCGTCTGGATTTGGAACAGAACGCTGCTAGGGCTCGCTTACTGACGTGAGGCAACTCATGCCTGATGCTGTGCAAGCGCTGCAACTTTTGAGCACGCTCCATGGCTACGGACATGTTTGACATACTGGGTCGGGCCGCCTCGGAAAGGAGACCCAACCTTTGGCCTCCCGAAACTTTCTCGGGAGCCGTCCTGAGCCGCCTATGGGGCCGTCCTGGGCCCTCGGGGGTCTTCTTGAGCCGTCTATGGGGGGTGCGTCATGGTGACTCTCTTGGGGCCGTCCTGGGCCGTCTGTGGATATCTCAAGTACGGGCTCATGGCGTCGACGTCTGCCGCGTTGTATTGCGATGTGTGCGTGGGCCCCAAGCAGTGAGTTAGGTGCTGTCTATGTGGCGCAATGCAATGCAAGACAATGCGAAGCCGACCATTCCAGTACAATATGTTGTGGTTGGTGCTGTTATTGTTGTTGTTGCTGTTGCTGTTGCTGTTGCTGTTGTTGTTGTTGTTGTTGTTGTTGCTGTTGGTGTTGTTGTTTTTGCTTGCGCATTGATGTCGGGTACGATCGCCAATCAGTCGTGCAACAGGACTCCCCAAGTCCCAGCGCTGGGAGGCAGAAGCGCTGAGCATTACACTTGTCACGCACGACAGCGGCGGCTGGCACATGGAAACAGCGAAGCATGCACCTGCGATGACAGCTCGGCCAACACGAACCCACCTCTTGAACCCCTTATTCACTCATGACTGAAGCCAAGCTGACACTACATATAAGCATGCTAACCCAAAAGCTGGATATCCAAAGCAACGTGCCCTGAACTGCACAGTCTACGAACTTACTTAGATGCGAGTTTAATTAAATTGCATGCCTGCTTGAAC